ATATATATATATATATATATAAAACTGTAACTGGAGCGTGTAGCTAAAGTCATTTCCCTGGGATTATTAAAGTATTTCTGATTCTGATGATTGGAGCACCACATAGTAATATTAATAATTGAACTTTATTGATCTTGCACTAGAGAAATGTACCTCTGCATTTAACCCATCCCCTTGGGGAGTACTGTAGGGTAAAGGGTCTTTACTCAGGCGCACCAGAGTCGAGGTTGTGGGGAACAAAACTAAACTGGTTGATATTTTTTCAAACAAAACAAAAGCGTTTAGCAATAAAAAGTTAGTAAACAACGCCGTCCTTGTTCGTATTTAGTCTTATATCTCTGTGGACTGACATGCCGCTGACCACAACACCTACAGTACCCAGAAAATGACCCTTTAGATACTTAATAGAAAGTCCCTGCTGTCAACCTGGTCTAGTGAAATACTTGCTCAATAAGACATTAAGAGTTGTCCTCATCTTTTCTCTGTTGATCATTAAACTACACCTTAGCGAATTTGACATTTCATTTAGAAAGAGAGCATCAAAAAACAAGCTCTAAAATAAATGTACCAAACAGTATTAATATTTTATAAAGGCTCCAGAGGAAACTCCAGTAAGAAAACAGGATGAATCTAAGCAGCTTCTAACTACCTTCATGCTTCACATTAAGGCTGATATTAGGTACTATTCATGTAACTGGCCTAACAAACAGGATGCTTTCTTTTTAGCTAAACAAACTGTGCAGCAGTTGTGCCCAACATGAGGGAAACTATATGGTAATCTCATTTCCAAATGGTCCGTCACCATGGCACTGCAAAATATAATTCACTCATCCATCTGAGCAAGCTGTCAGCCTCCACCGATAAATTTGTCATGCTGTCCATCTAATCTGCTGCAACAAGTTGTTGACGATCTCGCATTTAAGAACAGCTTGAGGAAAAAGTGACACTAGTTTATCCGCTTCTGCTGTGACATTCACTTATCCTGGTTACCTTTCCTACTGAAGCAGCCATCAGTGAGAACTTAGTCAGCAGTGGGATGAGGAAACAACACTTCACTCCCACAATGCAACTCTGACAAACGCAGGAAGCCTTTTGTGTGTTATTCTTGACTGCATGACAGAGGATTTTTTTTTTTTGTCTGAAGCCTTTTCATATTTGTTATTGCATTGTTCATGTGAGCAAGCTTCAACAGGCGTTAAAGCGAGAGGGAGGCGACATCTATTTATTTACTTACCAGGACATTTCAATAGTGAAATATTTGTGGAGAATAGCCTAAGTGAGGCAAGAAAGAGTCTGTGTTTGCACACCGTTTAACATGTGGTACTAATTATACAACAAAAATCTAGTTGCCAATTCATATATCAAAATCAGGCAGGGAAATTAATCTGTTTTGGACCTAAGTAGAGGTCCTTGAAAAAAAAAGTCCTCTTCATATGTGGACAAGCTGGCAGGGGAAGTAGACCTAGTAGGGGAAGTAGACAGGGGAAGTAGATCTGCATTTGATTATTGTTTTAGAATTAGAGGGAAATGAAAAAATCTGATTGCAATAAATTCAGCTGTGCAAAGAACTGCATAAACTTCTACCTGAGTTATTTACTTTAACATCTAAAAATGTGCATGGTTGTTTTTTCAAACTGAGCCTTTCAAATATTTGAAAAATTCATGCCATAAAGAGCATAAAGTCATAAAAAAATAGAGATCACTAGTGCCTCATATGGGTGTGTTTGTTTCCAAATTTTTTGACATTTCACTTCCCATCCAGGAAGCTTTTTCAATTCAATATGTCAGGTATGGCGTTAAGGTCGAGGTTTTATAAAGTAGCCCAACAAAGTCTTGTTTTTGTTTTGAAAACATGCAAATTGGAAAAGGCGAAGGGCTCCACCTATTTGGAATGGGGGTCATTTGGCTTCTTTTGTAAGCCTGCAATATCCCATAACTAGGGGTGTAAATAATAATTGTTTTGTATCTATGCATCAATTCAACAGCCGACAATCCGATGCATCGACACGTCCGCAAGAGTATCGATTCATGTTTTTTTTTTATCCATTTACTCCTGGACGTAATTCTGACTCCCTTGCTGTGGTGGCGCTAAACCTATTTTGCCCTCCTACCTCGCTTTCTTCAGCCACTACCCTCTTTCTGCTTGAAGTATTGTTTGACCCAAGGCCTTTCAGAATCTATAACACAGAGGCATTATTATTTTTCAGTGAATGAGGTTTTCATAGGCCTAGGTGGAGTACAACTTTGCTACTTCTGTTGTTTGCTGTTGTTTCTCAAATAAAATGCATAACGATATTACAGCTGCCGTTGATTTATTTCAAATTTGAAACATTTTTTAGCCTTTAAGGTTAAAAAGAAATTAACCAATTAATCGAATCGAATTATATCGTGGTGTATTCTTGAGTATCGAAAATAATCGAATCGCTGGGTGAGGAAATTGATACTGAATCAAATCGCCATGACGGATGGGATTTACACCCCTACCCATAACCATCTAAGTGTCAGAAAGATTACTGCGATGATTACAGGAAGGTATTAACTCCATTGCTGCATTGTAGGTTTTTTGCGATGACATTTATTTATTTGTTATATTTCTTTTGGTCACTTTTCTGGTCACTTTAGTTTATTCTTTGTCAGTATTTAATAACATAATCCAGGTCTCTTAAGTTATTTTTCCTTAAAACAATTCTGTTATGGTTAAATAAATATTTAATTGGAAGTCTGTGTTTGTGTTCTTTATTAAAATTAAATCATTTAGCAATATCATAAAAAGTCCAGGCAGAGCTGCACATAAAATATGGTTTCAAATCTTTTCAATAATTATCGATATCGATCAATATGCATTTTTTTTATTTTTATCGATAAGCTTTTTTTCTATATCGCCCAGGCCTAGTTCCAATCAGGGAAAACCAACATATCAGTTAAACATTATGAAGGAGGCAGATCAACGAATCCTGTAGCTTTGGTGTAGGAAAATACTGTGCTGCTTATCTGTTGCACTCATTGATCAGTGCATGCTTTTGTTTTTCTTCTAGAAATCTCAGTCTCTGTGTTTCTAAATGCAGATGCACCTGTTTTTAGTCAAAAATGGTGGTTAAAATGCCTATCATGTGCAAAAGACAACACAAAACACCCACTTTTACTACAACTGGATAAAAACTAATCAGTCCTGAAGAAAAACAATAAACATTTATTTGATTTTTCGCTCTTAAAATCCAAAAACCAAATAACATAAAAAGAAAACCTGCAGAAGATAAAAAATGATTATGAAAAACCATCAGATCTGTAACTTTAGAGCAAGGCACCATGCAGAGGCAAATAAAAAAAGATAGTGGATTAAAAAACAGACGCAGCTGCAGGAAGAACATTAGGAGAGCTATGGTAGACCCAGTTCCTCTTACAACAGCCCTAAAAGTCTAAAGTAGAACATGAGCCAACTACCCGCTAGTGCCAATAAATCCATCTGTAAACACTCTTTCCCTTCTTAATGTCTCATTAGCCGAGTCTGTCAAATGTGGCCGGGCAGCCACCCGTACACAGACAGAAAGCATGGCTGAAACAGCGCCAACAAATAAAGGAGAGAATAATATTGAAAACAAAACAACAACAAACAAATGAGGAAGAAAAGTACAAAGCTAGTGGCATCAAAGACGATAAACACTGAATATAAAGGAATAAAGGGATTCTTTTATATTTTATTCTATCTTAAAAAGGTGTTTTTTTTAAGAATCTTGTGTTTTATTTTACCTTGAAATAAATAAATAGTTCTGTCAAATTGTTGCCCTCTACATCAAAGAGATTTTTACGCAAGTTGAAGAAATGAAGCCCCTCAAAAAGGTATTCTTTGATTTTTTTTTTTAAATATATATATAAGATATTTGTTTTACTTTCCAACCTTTTTTAATCATTTTACAGTTAGCTTTGTGGTTTTATACTGAGAGAGTTCTCCAGTTAGGTTGGGCTCAGAGAGCTGATGGTGGTTTTCAAGGAAAACCCTCCAGCAGCTGTTTTCAGCAACAGTTGCTGAGTTCAGGGACTGCCAACTTTCCGGTTTCATGCATTGCCTGGTTGTTCACAAAGTCTCTGCCACTCCGACAGCTGAGGATGCCAGAAAACTCAATCTCTTGCCATTGAATGCACAGTCTCTGTAAACAAACAAGGGCTGAACATCGTGATTAAAATTCCCTTAAAAAAAACTAATCTAGTGTTTTGTTCATGTGGTGCTTGAGAGAAATTAAAAAATCTGAATTAAAGATCATTTTTGTTTTACAACATGAGGAAAACCTGACATTTAATTATATTACCTCATTGTCATTTTGCCAAGTCAGTAAACTAATCCTGGTTTAACTACATTAATAAAAAATATATAAAGACATCCTATGTGCATAGCTTATAAAGAGAGCATATAAATACAAAGTATATCTGTTAATACAGCTCAATGAAAGGTATCCAACAATTTGCAATTGGTTATATTCATTTAAGAAAAGAGTAAAGACTTTATAGAAACCAACACAAAGTAGTTTACAAAGAGAAAACCTACCTTTTATTTTTCAAAAAAGGTAAAAGTGCAGCACTTATTTTGAACCTTTTATAATAATATAAAGTATCTTTATATGTTGTTGCTGATTTTAAAACCAAATCGTTACAATTGCAAATCTAGAAATTGAAACTTGTCCTTGGTCCCATTGGATGGAGAGCTTCTTTTTCAAATCTTCCTATAGATTCTGAGCTGGATTGTAGCCTAGACCATTTTAACACATAAATGTGCTTTGATCTAAACTATTAATTTCTGCTCTAGTTCTATGTTTGGGTTCACTGTGAACCTCAGCCTCAGGCTCGTCTCTGTGACTCCCTTGTTAATTCACCTTCTCTTTCCATCTAACCTGATCAGCAGCCTTCATCCAGCGGACAATCAGCATCTCCACATTATGATACCACTGTGACCATGTATTGCGGTGAGGATGTTGTGTTGAAGTGTTTCGCACTCGGTATTGACTCACAGTGAGCTGGGTCGGACTTGCCGACTGTCTTGCTCTCCATCATTGCTGGTCAGACTGTGTCTCCAGGTTCGATTGTTGCTTCCCGTGCTGCTACTGCTGCTGCTGCTGCTGTTACAGTTTGCAGAGGAAGACGCCGGTGGCTGGAGGTCAGTGTTTCCAACACTGTTCCTCTTTTCACCTACAAAAATAAAGCTTGATTTTCAATATTCTGTTATTTTTATACACTTTTCTAAGGTCCCCACTGTGTGACAACTGCTGCTATAACCTTTTGCTGCTATAACACCACAATTTCCCCACTATGGGACAATAATCAGAATCAGAATCAGGTTTATTATAAAGAGATTTTCTAATTCAGAATCAGAATCGGGTTTATTATAAAGAGATTTTCTATTCTATTCTAAGCAAACTAAATGCGTGTACTGTGTGCTTTGTCTTTCCGACATGGACACATAAAATTGAACAATTTTTTTGCAAGATGACATTTGCTATGAAAAAACAGTCAAAGAAGAGAAGCAAGAGGATTAGGGCCACTGAAAAAAAAAAAGTGAACTGATTTTTAAACTTTATTTCAGTTTAACATGGGAAAAAAGTCAGAATTCTGAGATTAAAGTCAGAATTCTGAGAAAAAAGTCAGAATTCTGACATTAAAGTCAGAATTCTGACTTTTTTTCCATACTATACTGAAAAAAAAAAAAAAAATCAGTTAACTTTTTTTTTTTTTCTTCCAGTGGCCCTAATCCTCTTCCGTATATACAAAGTCCAGAAAAGTGGAAAACTATAATATAAAATGTGTTTTTTGCTTGGGGCTCACCTTTCTGAGAATGTGTTGGGGTGTGGAAGAGAGTGAGAGGCCTCTCGCTACAAGATGGTGGTTTACTATCAGTGCTTGTTCTCCTCATCGGCTCAGGCTGCATGTTTGTTGAATTGCCTGTTGAACTTGGCACGTCCCTGAATATCTATAAACAGAAAAAATAAAAACCATATATACCTATTCATTTTATTCAAACAATGTGTCACATTATAACTGTTGAGTTTAAAAGCAGTGTGTATGTATGAGCAACTTATGACAAAATTGACTTCCTGGAACTTAAATAAATTAATATCATGAGACAATGATTTCCTGCACATTTTCCTGTGCATGTCATAATGCATGCATGCAGCAGAAAAATCTTTTACCTCCGTCTAAATGTTTGCTCTCTGCATTGACTGAACATTGTGTGTCCAATGGCAGGCTCTCGTGCAGACACACCGTTGCCATGGTAAAATGTGTAAGCCGCCTAAAACATGTGACTTTGGAAAGCACTTAAAGCTGATGTGAGCATGTTCACCTCCAACAATTAGGCTCAATAAATTATATTTTAAATAAGAATAATACATTCTGAATGCTCTTCCTTTTACCTTTTCATGGTGCTCTATGAGAATTTCCACCACAATATTTTGGAACTTGATGTCCATGATGGCAGCGACTGTCTCCTCCTGCGGACGGAGCAGAGTTGGACCAAAGACCACACCTAGATTGGCCACAGTCATCAGGTTCTGTTGGTGATGGCTGGCCACACTATGAGGCAAAGACAAAGAGAAAGCAGCACCGCATTGACTCATCCCTCAGTGAACTAGAATTGGCTTCTAAAAATTGATGAACAGACTGAACATAGAAGCGTATTGTTTCCTTCTGTGACACATATTGATTACAGTCCTGTTCTTCTTTTAGGTTTATTAAGTAAAAACAATGTTTAGCAAATCCTGAAAGGCAAAACATTTTAGGGTTAAAAAAAAAACTGAAGAATAGAAAAAAAAATAATAACCATAACCTTTCCTTGTTTTTTTTATGGTATTTAATTAATTGCTAAATCTATTCTATTTTAACTTTTGTTGGAAAAGTCCAATAAACCTTTGAAATATACATATACATTTATATATATATATATATATATATATATATATATATATATATATATATATATATATATATATATATATATATAACCTAGAAGTTTAATAGGAAGGTTACTCAACTTTGATTTAAGAGCAATTAAAAAATTGGTGGAGGGTTTTGTTTCCATCTATGTTCAGGGGAATTTAGTTAGTTTTGTAATTGGTTTTTCGTTTGGTTTGATAATAAACGGTCTCTGTTTGTGTGTATTTGGTTGATTCATTTATTGTTATTTATCAAAATTATCTTAAATTGTCTGAAATAAATTCCTTTTCATTCATTCATTTTCCCCCAAAGACCTTGGGATAGGTTTTGGAAAACTATTGATCCAGGTGAATTTAAAAGATAACCTTTTTCAGTGCAGAGTTGATGTTCAAATAAGGGCTGCAAACAACGATTATATTCCTAATTGATTAATGTTTCGATTATTTTCATTAATAGCATAAGGTTTAAAAGATTTATTACAAAATTAAATCAGGTGAAACTAAAACATTTCCACTCAATGAGTTCTGGATATACGGACCGATGAAAAAACTTTTTTTAAAATTTTAAATGTAAAATATTATTATTATTATTATTTTTTACAATTGTAGTATAATTACTACTGTAAGTAGGTTGCTGTTTCAGCTAAAAGCATGTTTAGAGTCTCTATATTCCAGTTAATGAATAATTGATTATGAAATTATATGAGGATAATTTCAATAATCATTAATCACGATTAATCAAATTAATTGTTTCAGCCGTAGTTCAAATATTAAGCCCTTAAACTCACCTAGTAATTGGAAAGACTTCAGTACTGAATATTGTTATCATTGTTTCAGTTTTGAGCAAACCAATGAGCATGTCTAAAATATTGTTATAAGAAAGGAATAAACACTATCATAAAATATTTATTTTGCAAACACGATTATAAATACCAAGACTCCCGTCAGCTGAGCAATCTTTGCACATGTGTTGCTTAGGGTTGTCAAAAGTATTGATACTCAAAAAGGTATTGATACTGAAAAGTTGTATCCGGATACAATACTCATTTTCAAAAGTATCGATACAGTGCTACCACCAGTGGCACCTAAACAGTCATTCATCTTATGCACAGATTAGAGGAAAATGCACTTTCTGAACACTGTGTGATTGAATAATTCTACGCACTTTTTGGTTTCAGACTTTTTTTCTGTAACAGGTGCAGCTGCTGAGAATTATTTTTGGTTTTTAACTGGTTAGGCCAGTGTTATTGTTATGTGTAAATGGCTACTAAATTTTAAAATTCTCCTTCTTGTTCATTAGTTAAACAGTGACACCTTGTGGTTAATTTGTGCTTTTATTTTGAATAACGCTAGACTTCTTCGTGTGTTTTGTGGTTCTGCACTTCCTGTTCTTGCTAAGCGTGATGAGTCAGCGTTAGATCCTGAAGAAAGCTAAAGAAAATCGTTAAAATAGCGCCCTTGGAAAGCAGAATGAGGTATGAATATGCGCAATTGTGATTTATAATAAGAAATGTTTATTTAAAAACAGTAGAACGTCATTGGTTTATTTGTTTAAAAACGAAACTGTGTGTTGACGAGCTAAGGACAACGTATTCGTATGTGTGAACATTAATGTGCCAATTTTATACAAAAGTTAAGCATATACAACAATTCTGTATTCTTTTATTTCATGCTACAGTTTTCACGGTGTCTAAAGATTAAACTGCACCCGTTTGGAACTTTTGGTTTCAGACTTTTTTTCTGTAACAGGTGCAGCTGCTGAGAATTATTTTTGGTTTTTAACTGGTTAGGCCAGTGTTATTGTTATGGACGATTTGCAACAAGATGGATGGAAAATGCTAATTGGTGATGGTGACCAGAGGGAAACAATGGCGGTAGGAAGTACAGGTGTGCTGGTCGCTCTGCTACTTTACACATTTTTTGTAAAGTCCACACTGCCGATAAAAAACTGCTATACTAAGGACACAATTTTTAATAACATTTTAAACAACTGGGTTGACAAAGAGGCGCATTGGCGCAAGCAAACAAGCAAGATCAATGGCGTTTTTGGGTATGGAGAGTACACCTTGGCTGTTACACTTGCCGTTTCAAATCGCTACCACCAAAGGAAAAAACGCAAAGAAACGCCTTGTAAGAAATCAACAAACAATGCGATGATAATATGCCTTTGCCTACTTTTGTCGGGTGACATCCACCAGTGTCCAGGTCCAACTGGTCAAACAACAGACAGAGCAAACCTTCCTGATGCGACTAACGCTACCTGTGGCTCCAGTGCATCCCCAGCGGCGGTGCTCCCAGGTGGTGTCTGCAGGGACCCGGCGATGGCTCAGGTGAACCCCTGCATCGACCTGAGATGGACCGATAGGATTGGTTCCTGTGCGGATGGTTGTTTGGATCTGCGGCGTGATTCCCCGGGGAGGCAGCGGTTCACGTACGTGGAGAGTGCATCAGCCGCTGCCGTTGTCAACCCTGAGCTTGGTGGTGCTTCTGTGCGGCGCTCGAGTCCAGACGGTCCGGGATTTCGCCGTGGTTCGCTGGGTGGACGTCCTGCAGCGACGGGTGCGTCTCCCGCGGATGTGAACGGCATGGCGGAGGGACCCAACGGAGAGAATCCTTGTGGAACCAGCGCAGTGAGCACCGCCAACATCCATAAACGCTACACAGTAAATAAAGCGATACGCATGAACCGGAAGTGGAAGGTCGTTCACACTGTAAATAATGCACGCATAATCTGGGATCATAAAGTCAAACCAAAAGGTCTCTTTGGCGGGCATTTAAATATCCGAAGCTTAAAATCAAAAAGCGAACAAATTATCCACATGATGACGGAATCAAATCTGGATTATTTCTGCCTATCTGAAACTTGGCTGCATAATAATTCCCCTACTGCTGCGCATTTAGTTCCGGGGTATGTCTCATACAGGAGAGATAGAGCTGACGGCAAAGGGGGAGGGGTAATGATTTATGTGAGAGATAACATACAGTGCAGTGAAATCCAGTGGAAAACTCCAACTGATTTAGAATGTGTTGGAGTAAATTTATCTCTTGCACCTCAGATGTCTCTCACATTAATAGTCCTATATCGACCACCATCTGCAAAGATAGACTTTTATGATAAATTCAAAGAAATTTTAAAGCAGTGTGATTTCAAAAAGGAGGTTATAGTGATGGGTGATTTCAATCTACATTGGGACAGTTACAGTACAAGGAAAAAACTTCAGCAAATTATGGATGGATTTAATTTTGTCCAGATGGTTAATGGACCGACACGGATTACAAACACTTGTAGCACTAAAATTGACTTAATCTTTACCAATCATCCTGAACGGATCACAAAATCATACAATATGTTGACTGGTCTCTCAGATCATAACATGGTGCTGATAACAAGAAAGTTAACCAGACAGCGATTCTCAGCCTATTCCGGAAAGAAGGAGTTCATTGGCATTCCAAGGAATAAACAGGAACAATTTCACACTGCAATAAGAAATATGAACTGGGACATTTTACTATTGGATAATAAACTAGAAATAATTAGTCAGAAATTCACTGAATGCTTACAGACAAAAATTTATGAATTTGCAGTGACAATTAAACACAAAAGCAGAAAGTGTTCTCTTCCCTGGCTCAGTGACGACATCAAACAATTAATGAAAGACAGAGATAATGCCCTTAAAAAAGCCAATAAGTCCAAACTATCTTGTGAGAGACAAAATTTTGTTTCATTACGGAATAAAGTGACAAGACAACTACGAAAAGCAAAGGCAGACTTTTTTATCACAATTATTAAAAACTGTCATGGAAACCCAAAAGCTATTTGGGAACAGATTAATAAATTAACAGGTAAAACTGTTCCCAGTAACAATTTAATACAGTTGAAGAACAATGGCATGCTTTTGCAGGATCAGTCTGATGTGGCACAGACACTAAATGAATATTTTGTTGATTCTGTTGAGACCATAGTCAAAAGTTTTCCTGTGAAATATAACAACATACCTGCCATTAGTTCAGAATTGTTAATTGAGCCCCCACTAAATCCAACATCTGTATCCATATCCGATGTGGAAAAGGCAATTAAACAGCTTAAGTATTCAAGAGCAAAAGACGTGTATGGGATGGACACACACATGTTAAAACGAATAGGTCAGTCAATTATTGGTCCACTAACACATATCATTAATATGTCACTAGACCAAGGGAAATTTCCTGAGCCATGGAAATTTGCTAGCGTCATTCCCATATTTAAAGGTGGCAACTCTCTTCTGACATCTAATTATCGACCTATTAGCATTTTGCCAACAGTATCTAAAGTTTTTGAAAAACTGGTTGCTAAACAAATCATTAATCATCTTAATTGCAGTTCCTTTCCTTTACACTCAATGCAGTTTGGATTTAGGGTTAATCATTCTACAGAGACGGCAACAAGTTATTTTCTGGAAAAGGTTAAATCCAATATGGACAAAGGAAGGATAGTGGGAGCAATTTTTTTAGACCTTCGTAAAGCTTTTGATACAGTTAATCATTCCATTTTACTGTACAAACTCAGTACATTTAATTTTTCCCCCAAATTAATTAGCCTCATTAGTTCATACCTTTCATCTCGTTCTCAAAGTGTAAGAATTGACCAATACAATTCCACCC